CTCCTACGCGTCACTAACACGGCTATCGCTATGACACTCTTATCTCTCCGGAAGAAAAGAGGAGAGTTCTCTCGCAAGGCTCGGTGATAAGATGTTTTACTACCGTCTGATACACCTCCAAATGCAACACAATACTGCATTTGATGTCAAATTTCTGGAGTTTTTGAAGTAGGTTCCACATCCTCGAGTGCCATCAGGTGAAGTGTTCCCACATGAGAGTCGGAAATTACGAGAAAAAAAAACAAACTTGCGACCGTATGCGATATAGAGTAGCCCACCGGACAGACTAACGTGTCAGCACCCGCATATAAACAATCGCGCGTACTATAAAGCCCTCTGCAAGTCACAACAAGCCGAGGCGAGGTAGTCCGCAAAACCACGGATTTCGTAAATCACATGACATGAGGAGACTAACATCGTTGATGGAAAGCGCTAATTGGCGGATAAACACGCCCTACTCACGTGATGAAGGTATAAGAACCACTGCAGAAGCTACTAACAGGCCAAGCTACTCAAATAGCCTATAAGTAGTATACCATCAGCTCTTAAGTTAGACTATGCGAATGGCAAATAGCCCCCTCTCTAGAGTAGTACTGAATGCTCGAGGGTTTTTTTTAAATTCTATTCTTATATCTAAAAAAGCAGACAGATCTTGATCAAAAATTACTTCCAGTTCGCTCGTTGTTTTCCCAGTATTTTTAGCACTAAGGTTCGTGTCACAGTCCAGCTGGGTTATAATACGCCCCAAGTACCTAAGATTTACCCGGACGTCACACCCTCTATCTGCTAGGATCTACCAATAGGAGCCTTCAAGATGTCAAAAGATTCTCGATCCAAAGATGGGGTCCAATGAGGTTCAACCCCTGTTCAGAAATCAGGGATAAACTCGGATTGTTCCCCAAACCAACAGCACATTTGGAAGTATTGGATTGACAGAGATCCCTCTTTGCAACTCAAACGCAGACTCACTCATTGTTGATGCGATTCCGACCATAAGCGGGCACAAAATAAGAAATATAAGTGGTACTCGTATACGGGTTCAATAGATTCACGGTAACACGCAACTATAGATTACACAAGAATACGGATTCAGGCTTTACTCAGACGTTGTACTATGCGTGAAAACCTGCCATTCTTAAGAGGGATTGCTCTCCTGAAGTAGAGCGGATAGCGACCTACCTCCACAAATGCCGAAGAAGAGTGAAAAAGCCTCGAGGTTTTTAAGGAACGCGCTACCCACCAGAATGAGACCAAAGAGAAGAGCACTGACCATTGCAACTGGTCGGTAGTCGAATCGGTTGGATAGTACATTGGCCAAGGGACCTGGGAGAAACAAAATAATAAAGATTGATCTCAGTACTGGATTTTTTGCAACACAGAAATTTGATTCGTCTTCTAGGACGGTGGCGTGTAGCTCTCCACCACCACTACCACCACCTACACGCCAAAGCGCCTTCCCAAGCGTAACTCGAGTGTTCCATTTTTGGCAGCACGGCGAAACACATTGGATACCTTTTGACCCTTTAATTAAGCAGAAATTCCTTCCGTTGCTGCTCCAGAAAAGATTTAGATTGGCTGACCATTACCCCAGAAGACATTTAAAGCGTCGAGTTTTACACGATGAAGAAAATAAAGTAGGATTTGCACTAAACGGTGAAAGACGTGCAGATGCCAAGACAGGTGCATGGATAGCAGAGAATGACAGGGAGTGGCAAAGGTGGTAGAAAACAGGGGCAGATTGCATATCACTGGGATCTGCGAAAGTCTAATCACAGTAGAGGACTTAACACTTTCAGTACTTTCATTACCACAATGATTGAAAGTCGGTAACATCCCTTATCTCCTTTCTTCTTATAAGCATACCCAATTTTTTTACTAGAAGATTTGGCGTCGCTGGTAATAAGCAAAAACTGATAACATATGTCACGTATGTGTGACGCTGGAAAAAAGCGTGGCAAAGAAAAATGTGGAAACATATGTAGCTGTTGAAATACATTCCTTTGATGTCTAGGGCAGAATAACTACTCCCTAAAACGTTAAGAGGAACAGAGTTGTATTTCCGGTCAAAATGACTTTTAAGTAGTGAAAGAGCAGCATCAGAGCCCGGACTAGTCAGAGCGGGTGGCCATGTGGCAAGGCGAGGATAATGGGCCGGGAGGAGAGGCACCCTCACTCGTCTCCAAGGCAGGAAATACTGACGTAAGTGGGAAAGGGATGGAGCCGGAAAAGCCAGATCGCTTGCTAAATACCACGGTGTCATGTTTGTAGCTTGGATTTATGCCCCTACTACGTGACGCCATGTGCGTCAACCCACTTAACTGCCTCCATCCCTCCCCTAGTGCTTCGAAAAGCGAGTAGAGAGGATTTCCGAAAGGAAGGAGCCACAAAATGAAGAAGTTCGACATGGGTAGTGAGACAGTGCCCTATTTGGCGCTAAGTCAAAGAAATAGTTAAAGGAGAGAAGCAAGCGAGAAATGCTGAGGCGGGCACAAACAGGAGAGAGGAAGGCAGCGTTAACTGTCCAGCATTCATAAAGTCTAGTGGCATCCTACTGCCGGAGATTCCAACCCAAAGGGGCTAATATTTGTTGGCGTTCTTTACAGCCACAACAATGCACTTCGTTGATTCGATTAGTTAGATCATTTTCACCAAGTGGAGATGGTCAATCGCACTGTTCAACGGGATGATCAAACAAGCGTCAAGCTTGTCAAGTAGCGTCAAGAATAACACCAACAAGGTCAATTTGTTTGCATCAGGTGATTACAAAAGTTTGTGTAGCTTTCGACATGCCTCAGTGAAATCACTGGTTGTAACTTTTAAGTACCTGCCAAGTGTCATTGTTTATTTACGCCTATCAATGCGCCACGCTCTATTCTGTCTCCCATACTGCTCTCCCCCCATCTTCAACTATCGTACCGGTTGAATCTGACGCAGGCGATCTGAGGGCATCCTCTTCTCAACCAGAAACCGTCTACCCCGCTTTTATGCCTTCAGCTCCAAGTCCCGCCTCGCCTTCCATCCTGTAGCAAAGCCCGCCTACAAAACGAAGTCCACCGATGGTCACCATGTGAAAAAGTGTCAGGGGATTTGCAGGATAGACTCGTTAAATCCCCCTTCTGCTTCCTGGCCCCATGAATTGCTATTTAAGAATGATTAGGAGTGGACATACGCACACCCACACAACAGCAGGATGGAAAATGTTAAGTAGGGAAGAAGCAGGGAAGCCATTTCAACGATTAACGTTGAGTTGCACTGTGGGCAAAGTTACGACGACACCCATTTCAGGAGGCACAGTAAGTTGTCTAGAATGAACTGATAGGCAGAACATTGGGGAAGCTGAAGTTGCTGTACGATGCGACGGATAAATCAGGCTTACTTACGAGTGGCAGTTGCAAATGGAGTCTCGTAGTACTTCACTCTGAAATCCAAATGCAAACGTCAGCGACTCCTTCGAATGTCAGCAGGGCGGATGAATGCGTGATGACCAGAAAACTCATCTCAGATCATCTTGGAGACAGACTTCAATAACTCACAAGAAAATGGAGAAATTTGGCGCTAAATCTAGGAAATGCGCTCGAGTCAAGCCAGGTTGTCATTTCACATCCATTGATTGAGATGAGACAGTGGCGATGCCACCCACAATCGTAACCAGCAAGTGCATCCTATAACCACTTTTCACAGCCCCATCCGATGAGGAAGTCTTTTATCAAACCAGAACCCGTGGGAAGCCTCAAGGACAATGGACGAGGGTGGCAGCCATACGTTTGTAAGTCAGTGATAACTCCAAGCGGCAGTCACCCATTCAGCTGAAAAATTATTCAACTGGTAGAACTAATGACAAAATGGTGATAATAGTACTGAAAAACTGTGGCAAGTAAAATCTGGCGCTAGAAGAGAATCCTCCACCCTAAGAGTAAAGGGAAGGAAATAATCCACGGCTAACCCTTAATCCTACCACTGGTGAAAGTTAGTCTGAGATTGGCCTGACTCTCGATTCGACTTCTTATGGCGCAAGACTTCGAAGTCAGCATATGTAAGGAGACAAAAGTGAGGTAAGCGGGTTGTAGCCACCGTTTTGTGTACGCAATGCATGCACACATACAACCCCTGGCCGATGTCAAACCGGCCACATGCGCTAGAAGTTTATCTTAAGGATAGCGTGAACTCCTCTTAACAACACTACGAGGGGTGCAGGTAGCGAAGTACGCCAAAAAGTGATACATCCTTCCGGGTAAATATGCATACAAACAGAGACGACGAGGCGTGGAGCCATGGATAAAGATGCACACCAATTTGCAATAAGTAATTATGGTTTCAAGTTAAACTAACTTCCTGTTGCGTCACGCCGCTAAAAAGGACAAAAATGCTCAACAGAGGCCTTGGAGTGACAATTATGGACGACAAATCTTACTGGTTGCGATAGGTTAGAGAAACTTAGGTAGTAGTAAATAATCGCGTGAGTGGCTAAAAGCGTCACATTCCTACTTAAAATAGGGCAGTCAAAACCTTGACAACAAAAAGTACCCGATAAATTTTTTCACCAGTGGACTTTGAGGTATTAGGAAGGAGGTTAGCTATCATAAAGTACTTCCGTCTGCCGTAAACACCTTTAATTGCGCCATTTTGCCGTCGGAGCGGAGTGCAGTTCCAACTTTTCAACACCCACTTTACCGTAGCTCATTTAATTAAGGCTTTTAGAAAAAACCGCAAGTTCATTTTCGTTTGATTTGCTCATAAAAAACAACAAAACGGCGATTGTGATTTGTCTAAGACGCTCCAGATTCTTCCCCAACGTAAGGTGGTGACAAAACGGAAATTATGATCTGTTTGTGGCGCATTCTACTTGCTACTGATAAATTACAGTCGATGTTAGTTTCAGCTACCATTGGTCCCGAAGTCCAGGCTAAATACCATTTCTTTATTCCCATTGGACGCATCATGTTAAAATTACCCGAAGTGGAGGACAGACAGGTCAGAATTTAGAGCTTTTGAATAAAGATGCGGTTCGGAACGAATCCACTGCCCATACATAACAGTACATCAGTGCCCAAGAAATTCGCATCTCCTTTGACCTAAAGAGGTTAGCACTACAAAACGCGTAATAATAAGGTTATTCGTCAAACAAACACGCGTAATCGCCAGACCTACTGACACTTAAAAATTCTAAGTAAAGCAAAGCCTGTCCAGCTTCTCAATAAAAAATAATAACCAGGGGATACAAATGAAATTATCAGTAACCACATTCTCGTGATCATCAAGTGAAGAAGGACTCACTGGCGTATAAATGCATTCCAGTGAGGAGTGCACCAGGAAGGAGGTAAAGGAGGAATGAAATATCAGTGCCATCGGTATCCCATGTGTTGAATGTAGCAGCCTCCATCATCTCAAGGACGTGTAGTCCGAAGGAAAGGATAAGACCATCGACGACAGCAGTGCAAGCAAAGGCGCTCAGGAGAACCAACCAGGCCCGCAAACTGCGACCGATATTGGCTACAATGGAGTGGTGAAGGTGTGATAACATGGCCGGTGGTAGAAGAGACTGTCTCAACTTGGCTTACCGCCTGCAACTTGGCCGGGTGCGTTTAAAATAGTCGGGATTTGGACCTGGAAGGTTGGAGGTTTTAGGAAAAATGGACATACTTCAGGATCCATTTAAAATACTAAATACGTTATTCCTTAAAGAAAAATACTGAATGCAGAGAGAGGCAGACCTTCCCACTACAGCTTTAGAACCTACAATAGAAAAAGGACATGCGCAAGACAGATTTAAAGATGCATTCGGCCAACTGCACACGCATCGAAAAGGAGCTGCGTTTTATGCCAAACAAAGAATTACATTCCAAAGCCATCCATGCTAAAAATACCGACTGCTGCGGGAAGATAGATACAACAAGTTATTTTGGATCACCAAACGAACTACTATTAATAATAAATACAGATGCCCTAACGTTGAGGGCAAGAGCACGACAAAAGACGGGGAGGATTCTTTTGTGAAGAATCACATCCTAGTAAACTCATGTACTGAAATACAGTTGGACCCCAATTACAACACAATCTAACATCATTCGCACAAGCGAACGGCAAGGGGAAATAACCTATGTAACTAAAAACGAAAAAAACCGAACCGGTGAAATTTGAGGCTTCCCCGTTAAATTAGTTTATGGACTCCTTCAGCTAGGTACAGCAAAAAATTCAGAATAACTTACCAGATGATGCCCTTATGAGTTAGGTCAGCATGGCGTAATTATGAGTAACTGTGCGGAAACTCGAGCAGTACACCTGACAGCACCCCAAACTTCAACACTCAAATCGGCGCACCTCGTTGGAACACTTTAAGCAAACATTAAAACAGTTCTCATTGTGACCTTTAGAATTAATAACACTCCTTTCAGATCTAAGAAAAACTTATTTTTATTATTTTAGTTTTAAAGCGTTATTTTATAGGCTTTCAACTAGTATCACTCAAAAGGGACTTAAAAGACAAAGACAAATGCCATAAAATTTGAAATTGACTGTTGCCACAGTTTTTGGCTAAATTTAAGATAAAACTCAATAGCTCCGTAATACCTACGTCGTTTTAATGTACCGTTCAGGAAAAAGGCATGTAGGAAATTCGAATCTCGTGACCGGATCGTCCTCCCCCGTACCTAGTGACTGCGGTTCTCCCCGTTCTTAAACGATGTACTTTCCCTCTCCATCTTTCCCTCTTTAATAAATATGTCCAAAATGAATCAACCGGGCTCGTCTAAGAACGCTAGGAACAGGGAAGTGGAGACCGATGAGTCTCGCCCTACATTAGCACATACCCTTAAATAACCAAAACTAGGGTTTAGCAAAAATTTCAAGGTGAATATATAATGCTGTGACTAGGTGTCACCTTGATTGCGTGAGAGTTCAATGACCGGCTCGATCGGATGGTAGATGTATTTGCCTGTTGTGAACGCTGGCAGAGGAGGTTAACAGAGAGAAGGACTGGAGACGATGCTCAACGGAGTACAGAGCTACGCAATGCGCTGGCTGTTTAAACCTTGATTTCGACGGAAATCCTACATGAATGCTCCACCACTGCACCTTTACCAATTAGGCTCGCCTCCGGGCCATGCCAGTAGCCCTGGTTGTAGCGTTCCGGGACTCCCTGAAGACGAAAGAAAACACAATACTCGGACAGAATATACATTCAGCACAGAGAGGGTGTCTGGGCTATTAGCATGGCCCAAAAGGCCAGCCCACCCAGTGAGGTACAAGGGGACTAATTCAAAGTGCAAAAGTGGCCCCTCACCAATACCGAGGGACAATATGCCAACAATGCATAGTATGTCGAGTAATGTGTTAACTTTCGTCTTTAAAGAAATCAAGAAGCATTCAAAAACTGCCGATAATTTTAGAAGCAAACATAAATCTGAGAGCGAACTGGGCTAAATTTTGTCAAGCTTTCCAGCAAATATAAAAAAATGTATGCGGTCACAAGTTTCTGGCTCTGAAATAGAGGCCTCATGTAATAAAACTTTCAAAATTATCAGCAAGCTGACTGATTTGTTTTCGTTACTGTCTTTAGGTGAAACCTTATTAAGGTTTAATAGTTATTTATACACAATTAAAGATGACATGTTTTGCCTAGCGGGTTACTGGATTTAAGCACAAGGCCCTTTTTATCCGTTTTATGTGTACATGCATTCAAAATACCTCTTAGGTGTAAAAAAGTAGCAGAAAACTGTTTATAACTATTCTTACTTTCTCACACTACATGACAACCTTGAGTGCAGGTCCCGCTTTTCACCGTGGTTGGTTGTGGTGTGTATTATTGTGTCGAGTTTTCTTCTGTCTGTTTATGCAGATATTTCGCTTGACTTTTCAATGCTCTTGTCTCTTTTTGGGCTTCTCAATTTTTATGCGCTTTACAGCATGTTGTTACTTGAAAAGCACTAAATTTTGGCTTAAGTTGATAAAAATGTGGGAAATGGGCGGATGGTGCTAGTCAAATATGTTCAACCTTATAGTATATTATAAAGACGACTTGACAGTCATGCGTTTGAGCAGTGAGGAATTGTAGAATCGATTAGGAAGATTTTGGTTGAAATTTATGGCAGACTAATCAAATTCGACCCTTTTTTATTTCCCCTTTCTTGCCTTTGCTTGTTTGTTTATTGTGTTCCGCTTAGTAGCAAATAAAGACTCCAATTAATCAGGTTCTTCCACGACATGGCCTTACACAGGTTGTAATTTTTTAGTTCTTATCTTTGTTATTGCGTAATGATGTTTTTTTTACTCTTAGCCAACTGAAACAATTTGCTAATGCTCCGATTATTTCACCCTCTACAACGTTCAGTTGCATTTTACTCTACCGCAACGTCAAAGTGTGTTCCTATTATCGGTCTGGAGATTCATGCACAGTTGACAAGTGTTCGTTCGAAGCTCTTTTCTCCTGCACACTATTCATTCGCTGCGCCGCCAAATACCCAGGTTGCACCCCTTGATGCCGCTCTCCCTGGCTCCATGCCCGTAAGCCATTCTTCTAAAGACTTTCCATGGTTTGTCAAGAATGAATAATAAGGACACTCATATTAAATGCTAATTCATCTGGAGAGAAGTCTTATGTGCGTAAATGAAATCTACTCCTCTTTTTTAGCAAGTGACGCTTTATACTTTATTTAGATACTGAATCGCGACTGCGTTGTATGGGCAGTAGTGGCCGCGCTTGCCCTGAATTGTCGCATCAATTCTCTCTCAAGGTTTGATCGTAAGCACTACTTCTACTCCGACTCTCCTGCCGGCTTTCAGATCACGCAGCACGAACAACCCATCGCCGAGAATGGCTGGCTTGAGTATGTTTGGAAGCTGCCAGGAACTAAATCCTCTCCACAGGTTAGCAAGACTAAAATCAGGCGAATTCAACTGGAACAAGATACGGGAAAGAGCCTTTATGATGAAAAAACTGGTCGAAGCCTTATTGACCTCAATAGGGCTGGTAAATATTCACTTTAGAACACTTGTCTATCATTCTATTCTCTTTACGACAGGTGTGGCTTTAATTGAGATAGTAACAGATCCGGACTTTAGCACGAGTTATCAAGCCGCGGCGTTTGTGGATGAGTTGGCGACGCTGTTGCATCACCTCCGCGTATGCTCGGCCAGCATGTCGACTGGGGAAATGCGGGTAGATATTAACATCTCTGTTGGATCTTCCATCTCTCAACAGGGATCTATAGTAGAGGTGAAGAATGTCAACAGTCTTCGTGCCATTCGTTGTGCTATCGGTAAGATTGCCAATTATCAAGAGCTGTGTTAAATGCACTGCTACTTTAGCCATAAGAACGTGCTTTTTAGTGCTGGTTAGCCAGTCAAATTGAGCAATTGACCACTCTTGGTCCTTTTTGGCACCACTTTTTCCTCTAGTATTATCGGATTTCTTCGATTTCCTAGTCTATCCACAAGCATCACCAAACCTTGACTTGTTGTTGTTCCTGATTCTTGATATCTTTTAGATTATGAAGTATCTCGACAGCGTGGAATTTTTTGCTCCGGTGGTACCGTCATCAACGAAACACGCTCTTTCGACCTGCTTAGCAGGTGAGGTTTTGCCAAGCTCCTTTCGTGTCCATTCTTATCCCATTCCTTATTTTTTTATTGTCTGCAGTAAAACTATACCTATGCGTGATAAGGAAGTGGTTCAGGACTATCGATATTTGCCGGAGCCTAACCTACCTCCTCTGCGCATTCTTGAATCCTGCGAAGCCTGCTCTTCGATGGCGGCTCCCTCTACGTCTGGAACAGTTTGTGTCGGCTGTATACGACTTCAGCACGAAGCCAGTTTTGCCCAGCTGCCAAATCAGCTTCGTCGGAATCTTGTATTCCAACATGGTCTCCCTCCTGAACGCGCAGCTTCTCTAATTGAGGAACCTCAGTTGTGTTCTCTCTACTTCTCCACCTCTGCCCTCATTCTCTCCCAACTTCCCTCCTTAGAGGAGCAGGTTCTAGCAGTTCAAGGCGTTTCACGAGACGAGCTCGAGGGACTTGTGCACCGTGAAATTGCGTTTTGGTGCTCTGGCCTGCTCTACAGCGGTCTTCATGATACACCTGGCTTCCGGTGCGTGCTTGGGAAATTGCTTCTATTTACACTTTGCAAGTAAAAGTAATCTTTTTTTTCTAGCCTTCCATCTGCGGCACAGTTGTCCCAGTTTGTGATCATGACCTTATCCGGCCAAGTATTCGGCACCGGAGCTGAGCAAGTATGGAATTTCTATGAACTCCTTTTCGTCTCCACATAAACACTCATTCAATTTCCCTCTACTTAACGCAGGTGTTGAATTATCTTTGTGCCGAGGGGGCGTCAGCTAATGCCCTAGAGATTGCGGGCAGAACCGGAGCTCTGCTTGTTCACGATCTGTCTCTAATTCGTTCCACCTGTATGGATTTTATCAAATCCAATCCGGCTCCAGTATGTCTATATTATAGTATTTGAAATTTTTCCCCATTTCAAGGTATAAAGTAATTACTCTACTACATAAGGTTTCTTTCATTCGAAGGCCTTTTCCCACTCTCGTCTGTATTTAACTTTCTTCTTTGGTATTCACGTGAATTTAAATTGATTGACATACAGCGAGGAAGACTATGTGATGATTGTCTCTATCGCCCCAAAAAGAAGTTAATTTGCCAGCACCTGTGCACCCTGTAGATTTACATGGTACATATTCTGTAAGGACGCAATCTATGGTACTCTCTCTGCTCAGTTGTCGAGCAGGTTTCTTGTCAACGCTACTAACGGCCCTTTCAAACACTACTTTGATTCCCGCATTTCTGGCCCCCTCCGCTGCTAACGCTTAAATATCCTGCAAAATCGCTCTTTCGTGACCACTCTGTATGTAATAACACCAATCATGGTTGATAGCTTTCCCAAATCCTCCACCTGCCGTGTAAAGAAGTGTGTAACCTCTTCGGGACGCCTATTTATTTTCAGTAGTATTTACGTAACCCTGTCCTGTTTATGCCCTGAAGGTACTGAAATACATCCGCAAAGGTCGTAAACGTTGGCATCTGCAGTCAATGGTGAATCGAATCGTGCGTAGCACCGAGAGCACCCAGTTGCTTCACGAGGGTCTTGTGGAGCGCTGTCTTTCTGACCTCCTTAATAGAGTCGACGACGATGGTAGGTCAATTCCATGGACTCCAATTCATTGTTCTGTGATAGAAAGAACCCTTCTCTTGTCTTAACCTCCTACTCCCTGCCCTCTTACGACACGAGTCATTGCCTCCACTCATAGAGAAATTGACGAAAATTAAAACACTTCCTGGTATTTGCGAATCATGGGTAACTAAATGAGTTCGTGCTGTTTTGGATGGCAAAAGAGGTAGTTTTGTGGCTGTGTGAGGTATGCAGTCTTGGGTCGTCAGTCCTGGCTTCTTCTACAGAATTCTTTGCTACACTTCTTTGAGATGCATCGCATCCAGTGCGTCGATCTCAGTCTTCAACAAGTAACCTTCAGCAAATGAACGCTTCTGTCTGCGGTTTGTCACGCACACACGCATGGTAAGCACAGTGTTCTGATGATGAGGTGATGCTTGTGTCGGAAGTGTGAAATATGTGGGAACTAGACCGGTTGGGAATCTAGAGCGCAATAAGTTGTATCTTGCAGACTGATTGACGATATAGTGCGCGTATAGCCGCATATAGAGTATTTAGTCACTGGTTTTGAGTTATTACTCCTGAAATTAGTTCGGTTTTACCTTTGGCCTCTAATTTATGTGATCAGTTTGCTCCGGACTGCTTTTGCCTTTAACAGGCAGGTGGCATCTGTGCACTGTGGGTCGTGGCATTCTTGTTCTGATGACTCATGATAAAAAACCCTACCATATTTGAATAAGTAGAAATCAATGTTTCGTTTAAAGCAATCGGATTATTTCCAGCGCAAACCATAGGGTCGGTATTTTGTGGAGGGTGTTTGACCTTCCCCACCGTTAATTCATGCTGACTGTCGTTAAGCCTGGACGCGTTCTCCATTTGAACCAATCAAGATGGCTTTTGGAATTTTGTGAAAGGTCACCTTGTAATAAAGTTCCTCCTGACAATGCCTAATCCAAATCAAAGGTGAAACAACCACACTGAGTTGGAAAATGGCTTCAAAGATTGCGTGATAAATGTATAGCATTCATGATATTTTACGCGTACTTTATTTCGGGATAATCAGATGTCTATCTTGTTGTGTGAGAATGGTTGTCAGCAGAAGTGAGAATAAGCATGATTTGTTACTTCTTTTCTATCGACTTTTTACTCACTACCGCCTTCTGTAAAAGCTTGAATTCATTTATTTTTTGTTTTCTTTCCATTTTAGGGACACTAATGAAATAGGCTACTTTTTTGCGGAAAGGCGTGTACATATGCACAATTCAAATTTGTACCCTGGGGCAAATAAAGTCGCTATGATGAGGAATTTTCTCTTTTCATATGCCATCCTTGGAAGTTTCTGAGATTTGTCAAAACGTTTGTTATTCGCATTATCTTTACTAGGTGGATTCGGAAAAGAGAAGAATGTGTTACCTATTCTGCGAACCGACGACAACTCGGTTTTAATTGTGGCCGAGATCTATCCACCTCGATGTTGATCAACTTGGCGATATTTCTCCTCTTAGAACACAACACTTGACTCCAAACGAGGTAATTCATCCTTTAGGATAAGGGGGAGGAGGGAGGGGTACCGCCTCATCCTCATCCTTCATCGCCACCGGCTTATGTCTCGTGGGGGAAGGATCACCATCCTTCAATGGATCATTGGACTGCCGTAGACATTAAAACCCCCCAAAAATTTTTCATGAAAGGACGGCTTTAACTCGCAATTTCCACCTTCGGAAAAACCATGAAGTCGTAAATATTCACCAACTGACAAATCACGCGAACTTCGGGGGGCTACCCTCAGGGTCGGCTCTCACTCGATCCTATCGCTCTCCGAGTTCTTCACCTCATATCCCTACGGAGCTTTCCGCCTCCTCCTTCTTTTTTTCATTCCTATGTGCGTGTGAGAGTACTCACACACTCCATGTTTTTACCCCGAACTCCTTCTCCCAGGCAGACAGGGGCAAGTGGGGATTTAAGGAAGAAAAAAAGCATAATCTCAAACCCTGAGGCGATGGGGGGGAGGGTGGTTTGTCCTCACCACTTTAAGCGTGCGTTTTTTTTCTCCCTTCTCTCTGTAAAAAATCCGCGAATTCCTACGCTCGAATTTTAGCGTCGGCTTGACTTAGACAAGGTAGGCAGGACTCCCTTTCCTCCCTCCCCCCGCCTTCCCCTTAAGCCATATTAATTTCTCTGCCCGATGGATGGACTGTTCGAGATCACTCAAGACTGCGGGGCTCGAGGTTTCTCTGTTCTTCCTGAAGGCATTATAAGACCGTAGCCAAACGACCGCTCCCAATGGCATAACGCTGACCCCTCGGGCCTTCAGATTGGTTGGATGGGGCTAGCAGTAGCCCTGGTACCAATTTTGCTATGCCGGTTCTCCATATGGAGGGGTAGTTGGGTTTGTTTAAGGTGTTTTGTTTTAAGGTGTACTTACCGCCCGATAGTTGTGGTGTTTGGCCTCTTGTTGCGTTCCGGTCATGTGACCCCTGGGACACTAAAGGGCTACCTCTAAAGTCATTTAGCAATACACGGTAGGGAGGGTGGGAATTGCCTCTTTCTCCCTCTGTCCGTCACAAATTACGATCACCGAGGTGGTGAATGAGTGCTTCATTGAGCTGTAAAATTTTATTAGCGTAGCGCGCTCTGAGTACTTTTGTCAGCTGTTAGTGGGGGTGTCAGTCCGTGTCAACGGTGTAAATTTTGAATCAGTAATGCTTAAAAAGTACCACAAAGTGGGTACTTTCTCTTCCCTGTTCTTAAATATTCGAAATCATTCCTGTCATTTATGAGGGTTGTTTAGTTTAAACCGGGACTTTATCTCGTGGCCATTTCAAATGTGTGTCCGATGCTTATTTTGGTGGCAACTTGCATATTTAATCGTTTTTGATACACAAAATCCAATTAGACTGTTTGACAAGTGCAGGTGATTTGAACGCGTGGGTAAGTGCGACTTGTCATTTACCTTGTCAACCTGTCGATGTGGCAACATCAGTAGACATTTTGACCGACTTTAGTGGACAATTTAGCGTGGTTGATAGATAATATGCAGGGTGTATAAAGCAAACTCGCCTACTAGGGAAGGACCACGCATTTATCTTCATCTCTTCCTGAGTCGGTATATGTAGATTGAGAAAAAGAGCTGTCAGGTAAGCCCAGTAGGCGGACTTACGACGATTGCTGGGTCCTCTAGGTAGAGTTTTCAAAAAGTCTCCAGCTAAGGCATGATCGATGCAAAGTACCATTGTTCCTTTTTATGTGCTCCCTCTCACAGTCACCATTGAAGCGCTTGATTTATATCCATGGACGCATACAATATGACGGTGTGTTCTAATAGCAAAAAGTTTTTATCTTTTCTGGTGGCGGTGAAAGTAATGCTTGCGCCTATTCTCCCAAAGTTATCTCCTCTAGGGTATGAGAATCACCTTTTCTGCAAGGAGTGACTACGCCAAATTGGGACTTCTGATACCTAGAAATAAGTTTTGGTATCGGTGCTTCACCACTCTTGGGTTCGGAAATACTCCCGTAGGTTCGGATTATCATCAAATGATCCGCTTTCTTGCCTCGCGATCTATGTACATTGGCCCGTCTACTGTGGCGGTAGACATGGAAGAGTGGTCCCCAAAAGCGTCTGAAGCCACTGCGGATCATGGAGGTCTGGTCAGGTCTTCCCATACTACTAATCTCTCAGGTACTCAAACTTCTGACCCTTTTGAGGTCTTTTAAGGTAGAAGGTGGGTAAATTTTAAGTAAAGCCACCCACTATACGGCATAAAAACAAACTGGAATTTTGATCTGTCTGTTACCACAACACGAGGCTGTAAAAAGCGGAGATAATTGAAGGTTACTCCTTCCATTGCCTCCACCTCGGTTGCTGTGTTCCTACAATTGTTCTACCTTCAACACAGCCAGTTAGCTAACCCTCTGGTTTTCAGCTACCAGGAAGGAAGAGAATCCGAAGTCCACTGCACACACACACGCAGGTGAAAAACAAGTGTGGCGCCCTTTGTTGTCGGTCGTCGGAGGTAATAGGATGGAATTTAGGGAGTGATTTCCTCCTCCTTTCCTTTTAAATAATTTTTTAAAGGACGTGTGATTTGTAAGCCTATTTTCACATCAATTTTGTCCACAAATTCGCTGTAATTAATCTGCTTTCATTGTCAGTGCTTCGTTGGAGACGCATAAACGAGACTCAAAGTAAAAAAGAGGAAGAAGAGGACTACCGAATCTTTCTACTGCCAAGAATTCGGCCTCGGTAGTTAAGCGGGTTCACAGTTCGCAGTCCATTCTGCTGGTTAACGACCTAAGGTGACAGGTTTGACCTGCCCATGTTCTGGTACTGCCGACCTTTCAAGTATTGTTTAAGATTGGAGTCACGTGATCCTCTTGGCGGGCACCTTGTTGACGTCAGGAGTCACACACACACACTACCGCCATCAAAATCGCCTGACAGGATTCACACCTAAAGACCCAGTTTCCTGAATAATGCTAATCTCGAATGTATTCGCAGACACATAAGTTGAGCTTTGACCCTTTTGCAAGCAGAGCTTCAGGATATTGTCCCAAGTGGGGTCCACCATGGAACCCTCACATAAGTCATTTCTGTAGCGACTTGAGGTGAATTGCTGCGTTGTGTTAGGCAGCGGTGTCTCGTTCGTGCCGAATGACTAATCCAAGTCCTGATTGTTTCCGACGAAGTCGTTTCAGCATTTACGTCCAAGGTCAACGATACACAGCTAGCACAGTCTTCTCTCGGTGTAATCGTGAAGTTCTTTGTTCGTTCAACAAACATTGTGACGTGATGCTCCTGTCACCTCCCATCACAACCAAGAAGTCGGTCAGCAAACAATGTAACAAAGGATTAGCTAGATACTGTCCGTGAAGAGGGTGAGGGACAGTAAGATTGATGATCCTTCAAGTTGACTGCCATCTTTTGTTAATACGATGGCATTTGGGTGGGTCCTAGGTGCTTTGTTAACTTCCACATCACGACTTTGTCAGGTGATGAAGGTATAAACAAATCGTTTCACCACTCACCAAGTTAAACATCACCGGGGGGCTCTTCTTACCTTGTTAATCTCGAGGTAGTGTAATCAAACGATACCCTCGATTCATGACTAGGGTGTCCACCGGAATGCTGATGCACCACTCCTTGTATGAATCATCTACTGACCATTCCTTGATGGTTTGTGCTGCCAAAAGTAGCGGCTAGGTGGTAGACAACGCCAGAAGGTGTAGCACTCCCATGGACCGCCCTTTATGATGGGTATAAACAATCCCACACGCATCTTTTACAGCTCATGGGCACTTAAAACAAGCTGTTGACGCGAAGTTCACCGAAATTCGGAATAACTTCCACCTTCAATTCATGCGAGTTCGTTTACTTTTCCAGTGCAGCTTGATTGCAAGGTATCTGATCAATCTTTTTTAGCCGCAGAACAAGCCTGACCGATTGGGCAGATGTGAGAAGTGTTGCACTTGAAGTCGTCAAAACTCCTTATCCTGAAATTCTCCCTTCCCCCGCCTCATGACTCACAATGCAATGAATTCTCCTCGAGGATGTGTCGTGCTTTTGGTGTTTGATTGGTTGGTGTTGCGCTTGACTGACTTAAGGAGGGGGTTTAAGAAAAAACGAGTCGGAGGAGGAAGTGAAGGCATAAGAAAGTCTTACGGCGCCAACTAGGGTGTTGAAGCATTATCATTTGATTGCGTGCCACTCGACCATTGACTATCTCACGTCTTTCACTGGCGCCGGTCAAACTGGAGCGACTCCTCGCCATGCGGCCAGGGGCTTATCTTCACCACATCATATCGCTACCACTTGTCATTTTCTTCTCCCCTCCCAGCTCAGACCGACTGTAGATAGATCGAATTCGTTGCCTTGACAGAAAGGGTAAAAATGGACCTTGTGGGATTGATGTGTAACGAGTTGTGGCAACAGATAAAATTGAGAACTTGTAGTCACTTGAAGAGAACAAAGAGGTCAATCCTGTGGTTTTTATGCCCACCAATACCATCAGGAGACAAGCTTGTTGCAGCTCCAGCTTGGGGAAGTGCTTTTTTATCTACAGCTCTCTCGTCTGATCTGGTGCCTGCTGTTAGCTGCTGCTCTCCTACGGGACGGTTTAAGTTAGTATACTTTTTGCTTCTCGAGTCATCCATAACGCAGTAATTAGAACATACCTGTTGAGGAGGAAGAAGTGTTAAAAGACCGCGGACGTGATGGGAGACTCAGGGACAGGTAACCCAAAAGTCCTCATCATTTTGAGGGTTGGTGATGTTATTGACGCTTGTTCGGAGTAACTCTTCTCCCCCACCCCCACCTCCTCCTCCCCTAACATCACAAAGGAGTCAGTGGCAATAAAATCATTCACGGAGCCAGAAAAGCTTGTCATGAAATTTTTATGGAGGCGAGAAGGCCGTTAAATTGAGGTTGAAAACAAGAAATTGAATCAGCTTGTTTCTGAACAGTCTCCAACTACCATAGTCCTGTCTACTGTCTATTCACAAGATAAGAAGGCAATTATCCTTTAATCAGAAGAGTTCTGAGCCTCTCCTTGATCGTTTTAAATTTTATCAGCCTGTTTTTGATATAGTTGGGTGCAATCTAGCGCTAGGGAATGTCAGAGAATACGTGTCACGTATGTGTGACGCTGATAGAAACTATTAGAAAGGGACTAAAGAAGCACTTTGAATTTAACAGTGCCCAAATTTTTAAGCCTACGGGTAAATTGGCTCCAGAGAAGTGGTTCGTTGAGATGCTACTTAGGAAGAGGCTCACTTAAGAACTCTGAGAAGTCAAAATAAATTAATTCCCTGGCTCATTACGCCTTCACTTGAAAACTCAGGAATCTGCATTGGTGGCAGAGGCAAATGGACCTTACTACAAGGAGGAACAATACCTGTCACCCTGATAGGAGAATGTGGATGGTTAGAAATGATTGTTGGAACACTCCACAGAGTAATCAGAATGACGCCAGCTTCCGGCCAATCCTCTTCTTTTGGTGTTTCACAATAACTACTGACGGGACGAGATGAAGCTCCATCAAAGGACCTGCCTAAAACCTATGTAGGACTAGGAGAATATGTAAATCCCCTCTTGTTACTTTCCTGGTTGAAAAATGCTACTACCAAAAGCGGCTGATGTGAGTGGAACTGGAACGCTGTCCAATCTTTGACACCATCTCCACCTCCAAATGGATTAGTTTTTGATAATGTTGGTCTAATGGGGGAGACAAGACACAGAATCGCCGACCATTAAAAAGTAGCACTTCCCCCCAATGCTAATTTTATTTTTCTCTTCTGCCCTGTTTTGCAGTTGAATAGGTGCAGACAATCCAAGGAGTAATTACCACCGGCAAGGAAGCGTAACCAGTGAAAATGCAGGAGATGCTCAGTTGTAGATCTTTTGATCTTTTTATCCTTCTAAGCTATTCTACTCTTGGCATGACAGACGGAGAGAAAGGATTCTTGCCCATGCCAATAAAAATGACCGACATTTCTTACCTCTGATGTGCTCCTCCTAATGCATACCTCTTCCGCATTCCTGACCAAGGGGAAAAAAATTTCATTGCCAATCTCTGAACGCATCTTTTCACATAGGATTATGCACCAGAATAAAGGAGGCAAAAGTCTCCACCACCAGCAGTAGTCTGAGGCACTTTGGTACTGCCTGTTTTTTATCACCCCGATTAGACCATACCAGAGGTGGCTCGAGTATTTAGGCATCGCTGACAGTGGGAGGAGGTAGTGTTGTCCTTTCAGAAATTGACTCACTATTGGATCATTACCTCAGTAAGGGTAATTTGCCCTTTTAAAATGGGAAAGTAGTCTTCTTATCATCTGCAGCCTGGTAGAAGCTGGAATTTTCCTCTCTCAGACAGAGTGGAATGATTTATCTCAAACTTACCTGATAAAACGCAATAGTTCTCCCTTCTTCTAGGCGATATTTATAGAAGAAAAATAGGGTAAACTTCAAGTTTACAGGAAGACATGCTGATTGATGCATGGATAGAGGGAGGGAGAGAGAGAAAAGAGAAAAGATCGCCCTCATCCAGTTAGATAACGGATTTTCGAGGACTGACAGCAAGTAGCTGTTGCCTCAAAGACTGCCCCTATAAAACTCCTTCAAATTAACCTCCTTTTTTTCCGGGCCAGTTCCAAAATGCGCCTTTTATGTGGCAATCATTGCAAATTCATTTATTCATTCCCGAATCCCATTTGTCTGCGATGTTGGACCCCTAGAAGGCGGGAGAAAAAAGTCAGACCTTGCCACCTGCGTTAGGATAAACAGGACTGCAATCAATCATCCCCTTCCTAACGAGACGTAAACTAACTGCTAACTGTCATTTTAGAATGAGTTTTTGTCTCTGGAGGTCAAGAAAATGTAGACCTAGCCACCTCCATCTCTTATCTTTCCATCCACCTACCTATCTCGCTATCTATCGCTCGCTTGACGAGCGATGTGATACCACATCCATCTCTCATCACGGGTAACGAGTCGGTCAGCAAACACTGCAACTACGGTCTAGCTAGATACTGACCATCAAGGAGATGCGGAACAACGAATTTGATGGTCTTTTAGGGCTCCATGTACCTGCACGCCGATAACTAGCCCCTCCTTCCTCCATTCCTGCCTCATTTCCCTTTCAGGCATGACCCAGAGAGCTACATCACCCTCTTACCTTGACTCCTACATAAAATTATAAAAGGCCTAACGTCTTTAC